CGCGTTATTTCTCTCTGCCTCGTCCGCCGTCGCTGACGCATAAGGATTAAACCGAACTTTCCGCGTCGACAAATAAACGAACAGGAGAGAACCGAAGTACGCTATCAACAGTCAGAAATACAAAAATATGATTAGTATCTCATTTTCTTCATCTTCTTTTTTTCTCTTTCACGCTCATTCTCCGTGACGCTCGATTTTCTATCTGAACTAAAATCGTCTAGGAAACGGGACTCGCTTGCCTACCGAATGCGCTCGCGATGCTCTTTGCCCTTTGGATGCGAACAAGCGTGCGAGTGTACGCCTTGATGATGGCTGCTCGTGCGATCGTAGGAATCGATAGTTTTTCAGGGATGGTTCGGTGGTAAGTAAAAACACCGAAGTTGAGTTTGGCAAAATTTTGGTGGGAAATGGTTTTTGTGAAAATGTTTGACGTGTAGTCTTGGTTGGTGTTGGTTAATTGGGGGCGAAAAATATGTTTTTGAGCTGGAAAAGAAATTTATAGCAACTTCCAATGTCTATCGTAACATAATTATTTAAAATATAATGAAAATTTCTTATCTGTTTGTGTACTTTTAAACATTTCTGCTTGTAGAAAATTCAATGAAGGTTTTAAATAATTTGTTGTAATGTTGAGTGTATTTGTCCTTTCAATTTTCGCGAACGAATGTATAGGGAATTTTAATATATAATTTTAAACAAATGGAGTTTTCTGGAATCTTATTGTAAGTTGAATTTATTATTAAAGTGTAAATCATTTTATCACGTATGTTTTTCTACTTCAGCAGTTTATAAGGTCGGCCAAATACATTTCTCACCCCGAAATTTGACGATTGTGTTCACCCCTTCGGAATAAATAATATTTAACCAAAAAAGTACATATAAAATACTTCTGTAAAATCTTTTTCTACCAATGTTTCATCAAAATAATTAAAAACCACTTCGCTATATATTTTACGATTGAAATCGTTCAGATGCACATTAAAATTTTTGTCCTCTAGACATTATCACAGAATATTTGAAAACAAAATTAATGGATTTGTAATTAAAAGAGAGAGACGATAAGTCGATCAGGAAATTAAATAAAATATGGACTGAAAGTGACCCAGCCTCGTTTAGATGAGAGCTGAGAAAGCTTCGTATTGATTTATCATTATACAACAGATAAACAAGTATAATAAAAGCGAGAAACTTCTATAAATAATTATTAGACTGCAGGCTGTATGTAATTATAGTATATGCATGTCAATATACGTAGTAATTGCTTCCCATCTTGACATAGTTTCCATATTGTATAACTATGCACTTTGGATTAAACATATCTAGAAGTATCGTAAACAAGGATTTTCGAAAAACATCTGAGAACTTTGTGCGTTGTTTGCTGTTTGATTTCTAACATTACAAAATTAATCCAACAGTCTGTTGATTGTTCAACTCTCAAACACCAGGACGAGATAAAAACATCTTTCAACATATTGCAAACACGTCACATCTGCAATGGACTTATAAGAAAATTTCATCGATTACAAAAAAGAACCATTATCCTAATGATTCAAATAAAAATCCACCATCATGAAAATAACACGATATTATTTTCAAATAATTTTTCCAACTAGAAAAAGATAATTCAATCTTATATAAAAATACAATATTAAAAAAATTAATTTTGGAATAGATTACAAGCGAAAGGAACTTATCACGTCAATCGCAATCAATATAAGGGAAAAACAATGGTTGTTCGTAGATCACGATTAAGCCAACAGACATTAAGATAACAGAGCAATATGAACGCAATTGTTCCTCTCTTCGGCGTTCTTCAAAAGAACCGCGCCGCAGAGAAGACCTAGATCGCAGTTCCTAGATCAAAGCATTGTTCGATCCGCGGGCGTACAAGTATGTCGTCGCGCTCGTTAAAATCGCTTGGTCCGATCGAAGGAATCCGGTTAGAACGCCGCGTCGTTCATGCACAGCGCCCTTGCGCCCCGCACATAAAAAGCTGTCGACAATCATCGAAAACGCGATGTGTATATATATAATATATGGAGTGCTGAGAATCATGATTATCTGAATGATGCATGTTCTTTATCAAATTAAGATTCATCCCGGATACTAAAGACTGCTAGAGATATTCTTTGATCTGAACACATGGTGTTTGTAGTCTGATTATGAGATTAATAAGAAATTATACTAAATAAGTAACAATTATATAACTATTTCTATTAATATATTATTATGAATCTGTTATGTCAGTAGCCAATTAATTCATGTTATTTCTATATTATATTAACGCAAAATTTCTAAACTCATAAGAAAGGAAACAATAAAATAAACATTAGAAAAGAAAACCAAATCTCTCTTTATTTAAATAATTAGTAATAAATATTCATCTACACGCAGGGTATTTGAAGTCTCATTCAATTACAAAATTCAGAAGTAATCCTAGACAGTAGATAATTAATTTATATTATTTCAATAATATACAACCCTTCGCTAAAAGAGATTTTCAAACTTCAAAAACCTCTTTCCATAATTTTACTTTAAAAACTAAATTACAAAACCTTAAACGTTAGACAAGAAATGTCTATAAACTATAAAGTATTTTAAACATCAAACCCCAAGATCATCATCATAGAATTCAACCTCAACTGATTAGTCAATAACCACATAAGGATTACTAACTCGAAAATCACCAGTTCCAAACAGAATTATTTCTAATAATATTGAACCTGCACTATGATTCTCAGTGATTCTTAGACAAGAAGTGACTATAAACTATAAATTTGTATTTTAAACATCAAACCCCAAGATCATCATCACAGAATTCAACCTCAACTGATTAGTCAATAACCACACAAGGATTACTAACTCGAAAATCACCAGTTCCAAACAGAATTATTTCTAATAATATTGAACCTGCACTATGATTCTCAGTACGCCATATACATACCCTATTACGCTTTTGCCGCTTACGAGGATCTACTTATACAGAATACCTTAGTTACCCTGACGTGTCAATATGCACACACATGTACACGTGCAAGCCCCTGCGTGCGTCTCTGTGTGTATCCCTGGTACGTGTGTGTATGATACATAGATATACGTGTACAAGCGTATATGTACACCCACGCGAATTTATTGCCACTGAAACTGAGAGAGGAACGCGCCCGGGCCGGCCCGATCCGATCCGATCCGCGCGTACGCGCGCCGACCCAGGACCATATTTCCTGTCCGTCTGTGCTCCGTTCTTCTTTCTTCATTATTTCACGCCCCTTAGCCGATACCTCCCCCCGGGTGCCACTCGTCTAGACCTAAAGTATCTCGCGATCGCGGAGATTGATTCCTCTTTTGTCAATTTCCTTCTCCCCTTTCTTTAGTTTCTGCTCCCTTTCTTTCTGTCTTTCCCTCCTGCCCTTCTTCTTTCCCTTCTCGTTCGTTTTCCTTCTCCAGCGATCCACGGTGAATGATTTTCATCGGGCACGAAGCGATAAAGGTCCGATGGCGTCATAAAAATACGAAGGCCGAATTTTGCGAGGGATTTATGTATATTTATTTTGAAGACGAGCTCGTTGCGAGAGAATTTTTTTTAGAAAGGCGATTGGTTGTTGGGTTTGAGTTCATTGTGCTTGTGAATTTTAGTGAGAGTGAAGATAAGTTGGTGGTTTGTAGTAGGGATGTTGTTTTGGGAATTGTGAACCGATTCGAACTTGGTTGTTGTTAATTTCGTTGAGTATTTAGTTGGAAGTAGCTGTATAATGGCTGTGGGTATGGTTTGAGAGATTATAGAAATGATTTGTGAAAAATATTGATTTCTTTATGGAACATAATTTGGAGAATCGAAGGAAAATTAATATTTCTGTTGATCTCTGAATGAGACAGACTGAGATTAATAGATTTGATATTAATAAGTTTAATAATTAAAATAAATACATAGAATCTGCGGTATAGTAATGTCCTCGTCGAACACTTTTTTAGTGACAAATTCATTCAGGTATAATAATTTAAGTTGTTTAAATGGGAGTTTGTTCTATAACTAAAATAATAAGCAAATTGCTAAGTAAGATATTATGATATTAGTGATCATAAACAGTCAACCACTTGATAATAACACGGAGAAACAATATCTTAATAATTATCATCAACAGTGCAATTAATTTATTCTAAATCACAATATTAATTTTAAAAGTACCAACTGAGTCGTTTGAGACTCAAACTTTAAAATTGAGAAAATTTATGTTTTGGCTTCTGAAATTATTATACAACACATTCAAAAGTAATAAAAAGGACTTTCTGACTTAGAAAAAAAACGATGAAACGAGTAAATCCATCAATAACTAAAAAAACTATTATTTATTCCATTAAAATTTATGAGAAAATATTAAAAAATCGACTTAATCGACATTTTGCAATACACTCGAAACACGTTATTTCCCACTCCCTTGATTTAAACGTTTCCCATACGTCAAAAATATTTCTAATATACCTAAATATTTGTCAGAAGTTCATTAAAAAATATTATTCGCGCGCCGAACGGAACAGTGGGAATTTTTTACACATTCCTCGCAGTTTGCAGGATGTTTATTGTTACTGCATTGGCATCACCGTAATTGACCCAGATCGGTAATAGAAGTGTACAACTGAATCGAACATATTGCTGCATTCGTTTTTCAAGTGGTCGTACTGAAATTTTCCTCTGGGATATCGAATGAAAAATGAACACTCGAAGAATCGGTAATGAGCGAATAACGGATAAAAAGATCCTGTTGCATCCGCGAAATGTAAATAGGCGAACAACGAATAGAAAGCGATTCGATGGGATCTAATAATTCCGTCGGAATTTCCCCGATAAAATCGGTGCTCGATATTTCGTAGCTTAAAAGCGTTATTTTTTATTAGCCAACAGATGGAGCGGAACAGAGGCAATCGCGCGATGCCGGATCAACGCAAACAGCGAGTTCGCACATGTCGGGAATACACTTGTTAATATTTTATCCTTCTCTCTTTCCTGCTTGGGACAAATAAAGTTCCAACGCGAGTTTCATTTCCTCCGTTCCGCTGGCTACGTAATTTACGACTCGTGCGAGCTAATTCGACCCCGCTATCGTGCGCAATTGCATTGATTAAAAGGTTAAACGCGGTGTAACCATAATTCGAAGCATCAACTGGTATCCTAATGTTTTTCTGGTATCTCAAGCTTCTCCAAATTTTTCGTTGATCGTACGCTTGTAATCTTCGTGACCAGACAAATATTTGAAAATTTGCTCAGTTAGTTTCATGTGTAATTTTGAAACTTGTAATTCAATTTTTTCTTTTGTGAATATTCTATTAAAAACTTTGGTAAATATTATTTCGTTTGTGTATGCTCTATAAGGATTAAATTGCAATTTCATATATTTATTACAAGTATGCATGTTTATAATATATCATATTTATGCAATAAAATTTTTGGAAGTTTTTAATGAACTCTTCATTTTATTTTGGATTGAGAACATTTTTTTCTTTGAATACATAATTTTGAGTTCGATCTTTGAAACAATGTTCGCTTCAAATAATTTGCATAAATATGCACACTCTAAGAATGAGTATTTTTAACGAGTGCAGCAACACTAGGGATCAATTATTTGAATATTTTTTAAATACCGCGTAATCCATATCGGACGAGTCAATATCTAAATTTATTTTTGTAAAATCTATGATTAGACGAGAAAATCAATTTTAACCTGTCGTATAATACTCGTGACATGTTTCCAATTCCATTCGCTTAACATTTCAAACTAGTTTTAAATTTAACACGGTGTAGCTTCGATTATCTGAACGCCGTTTTCCTGAGTATTGCCTAACCGAATTATGTACGACAATTCAAACTGAAACATTGGAGTTTATTAATGACATTACGAGATATGAATCAATAATTAATGTCTAATTGGAATAACTACACAATAATCATTTATCGATTTTTAATTTTTCAAGCAAATATTTATTAATGAACACATTGAGTTTTGCAGATACTATTGTTATCTGGTAAAAATTCATCCAATGTGCAAAAATAAATTTTTAAAATATGAAACAGGGTATCTATGGACGAAACTTTACCTTTGAAAAAATTGTTTTTGAAAATTTACCTATATAAATAATGTATCATTGTATAGATAATATTGTACAAATTAATTTTTCAATTTTAAAGTTCCAATTATATACTACTTAAAAATAATCTAATTCAATAACAAAAGCTACTCCAAGCATCCAAACAACAGTGTTTTATAATACAATTTTACCCCACAGTATGACAATTCTCAAAAATTTCTTCGAAATCCCAAGGTTCCACCACACGAATCTCGAATCAACAAGACCCATAAAAATTCACAAACAACTCAACGAAATTCCCAGTTAATCACAAAAGCATACAAACATAGTCACCAACCAATATCCACACCAACATCCTCTAGGAAACAGGTCAAAAACAAAGTCACGAGTCGAAACGCTTATTTTCACTTCCTCGAACGTTCCCATTCTCCCATCAGTCCTAAATTCCAATTTTAAAAGGACCTCCTTTCGCTTCGTGCCCAACGTTCGTTGCTTCAACCGTGGACCGTCGTTTCAACCAGGTCGCCGTTTTCGTTATTAAAGCTACGATTTAAGAATAAGCCACTCAGGGAAGACGATACTTCGTCGGCGCCGAATTTAACCGAGAAACAAAGCGTGCCTCAATATACCGATCGGCCTTAATATCGATCCGAAATTGTTATAACAGATTCCTCAAACCTTCTCAGTCCGATTCGCTCACTGGCGGAGGATGATCAGCGTCAGAACGACGATCAGCGAACTCAGGGTTGCCCGATAATCCGCGCTGGAACTGACGCTGATCGCTGACTTCTTCTTGCCGATCCTTATTGTCGGGACCGGCGTGGCGACCGACGGGTACCCAAGGTGACCGTTAATCGTGTTGTCCACGGAAAAAGGTTTGTTCTCCATTTTGTCCATCTCCGCCGAGCCGTAAACGATCTCGTCCTCCTCGTCGTAGAAAGATGGCCGCACCGCTGTCTGCGTCTTCGCTGGACCAGAGATCTCTGTAAAATATTGGAAACTTTTGGTTTAAACTTTTGAGTCCCAAATAATAACTTTCAGTAAATATAGATTTATTTCGAAATAATGTGTCTCAATTGACTTATCGTTTTCAACGAAAATAAGTATTTCTGTGAAAAAATAGTCTGCTATGCCAAAGATTAAAAATAGTCACACGAAACTATAATGAAGTTTTGAATGTTTATAATTCTTAAGTATACTAGTTTCGATTCGTTATTTGGTTTAATGAATAAATTGCACATTTGAATTAAAAGCAACACGAAACCTTTACTTTCTCTGATTTTGGCTTTTGAAGGGTAATGCTGTATACACTATACAATATAATTATTTTTAATTTAAATTCATATCAATAATGCGTTTTTATACAGAGATGATTATCTAACGTACGTGTGTATCTATCTCGACAGTGATAAAATATTATGAGGCGGAGGGTTGATAACCACGATACCAATGTTGAAAATTTTCCTTTTACTTTTCCGTCTCTTCCACTTTTTAATGGCGCACGAAAAATAAATAGCGGATTTGACGTGCTTTTAGCCGAAGAGAATTATTAAAACGCAGAAGAGGACAAACTCTTTTATATCCTGTAACGAGGCTTTTTACATTTTTGTGAAGGAGTAAATTTTGATTTCAGATGAGATTCCGTAAATTAACATTGAGAAATAGGAATCCGCGTACACGTTCGCACTGTGCTTGTTCATTTCGTATTTTAATCAAGTTAATGTTTTTTTTCGAGGTATTTTTGATGGCCGTTAATTAAGATTATTTCAACGGCGGCTTTATATTTTTTCAGTAAAAGAATATGCGTACGAAGTACGCAAAAGATCTTTTTTTGTCTGTCCATGGTAATCATAAAAGAAATTTCCGCTTTCAAACAATATTTTTAAATTCCTTTCTTAAATTTAATTGAGAGAACCTGCTGCACTCTGTATTCTGCATAAGTGTAAAATACCGGGAACGTTCTTTACAGAGAAACGTGTTAAGTGAAAATTCATATCAGAATTATGCGATGTATTACCTTTCTTTGGCAATGCGTATTAAATGTCATGGTTTTTGCTTCTTGTTGGAATAATTATTGAAACCTTTTTAATTTTCTCTATGACCAAGTAGCATGGCTACTGATTAGAACCTAGAAATTACATAGGCAGTAATAAATCGAAAAGAAAAGTTCGTTTATTATTTCAAACAGTATGTTAATAACCCTTTGCCTTAAAAAAATTCGTAAAACACCTTTTCTTCATTCTTCTTAATGTCGTCTGAATACAATAAGATATACACCAACACATACTAAAACCCCTCAAAATAGAAACAACATGTATACAAAACCAAACATTTAAATTCTAAACAAATTTAGTTTCTAATTTAAACAAAGAACTGCGCCCACACAACTAACACAGCAGTCAAAGCATTAACCCCTGGAATTTAAGAAATCCAAGTGTTATGTTCTTTGAATATAAATTAAATGTTACTTTTCTATTATCAATCTTTAGAGTAAACTTAGGCATAGAATACAAATTTTATTTCTTCCTAATAAATGATTAACGATAAAGTAGTTATCGATCGCATTTAAGAAATTAATCATAGCACAAGTAACCATCTGACACTAGCCAGAAAACCTAAATCCGAATATTTATTTTCTACTCCGCTCTACGCCGCATCCAACGCGTCAAACTCGTCGCGAACGCTCCGAAACGAGAATATACGAAATCCGAGCCCTTGCGGAGGACTCAGCGTACCGGTGAAATAAGTAAATCTCAGTATCACGAAACAGCATTGATTCCCAAGACGTAATCGGGTTCCGTAGGTTGTCTGCTACTCTGGCAACGATTTACGAACGGAGGGCAGAGGGAAGGAGCGGGAAAGGGGACGAAGAGGGCCGAAGATCAGCGCGCGAAATCCTTCAAGCAGAGTGCTCGGGGGTCCCGAGCTGTCTGTCCCCGGAGTGCTCTGACCTGATTGAAAGATCCCGGGGATCGTATGCGAATAGATGAGGATTGACCGAAAGAAGACCGGTGTACGACTGCTCCGGAACGTCGTGCCGCGAGAGTCCTCGGAGGTTTGGCGCTGGCAAAGTGAGGATGCTTGTAAACGCGGCCCCCGTGTGTTCGCCGCGCGGAGCAGGGATCCTCGCCTCTGTCACAGGGCGTGCGATTTGTTTGAGGCTTTCACGGGCAAGAATACTGTGATGAATGTTCAATGTTTCCTGATGCGAGGAGTCTGCTGTTGGATCGCTTGATGGCTGGATCGAAGAATACGGAGGATTGGTCAGTTTTCATCTGTTTTTCATTTTTCGTGATGATTTGATATTTGTTGGGTTACTAGTAGGCAGTTGAAATTATAAATAAAAGACTTAGTAAATGTGCCATCTTGGCCTAGTCAGAGTAAACATCAAATTATCTGTCAACAGTATATTGGTAAATATCTTTCGATGTATTGCAGTGGACATCATTAGGGATATGTGGACTTGATACTAGTGAAATCAACGTTTGTTATTTTGAAGGCATAACGTGCTCGACGTTACGGATGATTGATTACTTGTTTTTGTTGACCGATTGTCGAGTGATTAATTAATAATTACCAACTGAAGAATTGAAGCATCGAAGAATCGAAAAATCGAACGAATGAACAATTCACTAATTCAGCAATTCACCAATTTATTAATTTACCAATATATCTACCGATCAACCAACATAGAAATAAATAACTGTTCATCACTCATCTGAGTGATTAATTAATAATTACCAATTGAAGAATTGAAGCATCGAAGAATCGAGAAATCGAACAAATGAACAATTCTCTGATTCACCAATTCAGCAATTTATTAATTTACCAATATACCTACCGATCAATCAACATAAAAATAAATAACTGTTCATCACTCATCTGAGTGATTAATTAATAATTACCAATTGAAGCATCGAAGAATCGAAAAATCGAACAAATGAACAATTCACTAATTCACCAATTTACCAATTTACCAATATACCTACCGATCGATCAACATAAAAATAAATAACTGTTCATCACTCAGCGCCGAGCACATTACACCCTCAACATCAGAAATCCTGATTCTATTCCAGCAGTACCAGCAAGTCCACATATCCCTGATACCAGCTGCAACGCTAGCGGAACATCAGGAAATCTTTCCTAATGTACACAGCTTGCACCCGGAAACTTTGAACACTTATCATAGGGCGATCAGTCTTCCAGAGGAGACTCCCGCCGCGGACTCGCCGGCAACAATTTCCACGTTGGGCTTCCGCAAAGTACTCGTTAACCTGGCCGCCTCGTTACGTATCGGCCGTGAAATAACACCAGCCGGAGACGGATTTCCGGCGTTAAGCGCAGCAGCTATCAACCATCGCGCCGGCTGAGCCTCGCACCGCTTAGTTCCGCGTCGAGCCGCCTCGTTATCGCGAAGCCTTTCGAATATCGCGGATTGTTCGCTCTTTTGTTAGCGGCAATGGTTACAATCGCCTGTGTGACCCTACGGCTCTCGCTGCCACGCGGGGCGGTTGAGTCGAAGCTTGTTAAAGGGGGAACGTCTAGCGAGCTACTTGCAGTCTCCGGCTGCCCTTTATGATGCATTCGACAACTATGGATCTACTGGGTGGGACAATATTGGATTACAAGGTATTACTGTGAAGTATATCTCTTGTTTTATTCGTTTTTGGATGTTCGGTGGTTTTGAGGATTTTTTGGGCGACACTTGGGTATGTCTAGACAACTATGAATCTACTGGGTGGGATAATATTGGATTACAAGGTATTACTGTGTGAAGTATATCTCTTGTTTTATTTGTTTTTGGATGTTCGGTGGTTTTGAGGATTTTTTGGGCGGCACTTGGGTATGTCTAGACAACTATGAATCTACTGGGTGGGATAATATTGGATTACAAGGTGTTTCTGTGTGGAGGTGTTTTTGTGGACAGTGTTAAGGTGTCTAGAGAGTTACTTGCCAATAGAGTGTGAAGACTTTTGTACTGATGGAACCTCTTAATTTCTAAAATACTAGAAGTTTGCATAAATAATTGTTGATGATGCTATTTTATTTTTCTACGGAGATTTTGTTATGGTTTCTTATTACAAAAGTTCTGTATTTATCAGTGAACTGCTGATATTTAAGGAAAATCAATTTTTCAGAGGTAATTTGGAACAGTTAAATATAAAAGGTGTTTGTTTATTGTTTAGCATAAGTGCATAAAATACCCAGGTTATACCAATACATACAGAGACATACATTCAAAGATATATTTGCAACATATAACAAGAGAATAACCATATCTTTCTTCTCATATTTTTTGACAAATTTTAACCCGGATTTACGGAGTTTAAACACGTTTTTAACAACTCAAATTGCCATGGACTTTAGTGCCGAAATTTTCTCTTCGAAATGACCCTGCAAAACTTGAGACACACTCGACAAAAATCCGACTGAGCCATCTTCCCATGGCATGCAGACATTGGAATATTCTTTTCCTATTAGCGCATTTTTCATATAAAGTGCAATGAAACGACAACAATAAATCGTACACCAGTAAAATGTTAAAGAGAACAGTTTGTAACACTTTATTTGGCCCACCCCGTATGTAGAAGCTGTGCTACACGGTCCTGCTTATGTAATCTGTTAAAAGCCAGCAGCTCGTTAGTCGATTAAACTGTGTGGAAAATTTTTGTTGGTGGGAAAAGGCAAGAAGGGACACACCATACTGCATTAATGACAGTGAATTAAAGATTTTGTTACATTTCTTTCGGTCGCTTTCCGTCAACAAAGTTAGTCTGTAGGAAGGAACAATGTAAAAGGGTAATATGCATACTATCAGTATTTATAAACAATGTATATACTCAATTATGATTAAACTCTATACAAGTTTCTGTAAGAAATTTGGCCAGTTAAAAATATTTTTTCAAAGACCAATAAATAATGTACCAAAAGAAAGAAATGAAATAAGAAATAATCATTCAAAAACTTTGACTATTCTCTGATTAATAAACGTAATAATATAATATTATTTAAACCGAAACACCACTAAATTATTCACTTCCCAAAGTAATTAACTTCGTAAAACGAAAACAGAGAAATTGTATAAATTTACATAGACGGACCAATTAATGTCTGATATAAAATTTATAAACATTTGAGAAGTCGGTCACTTTGATCTGTGAACTCTCATACGTTGAAGACAGTGTTAACCGCATAATTATACGCGCACATGTAAACGCATGCAAACTGGACTGAATAATAAATTATAGAAAACGCGAAGGGAAACCAAAAGATGGAACCGCAGCGTGTAAATAAAATATATTGGCGGAGAGTACGAGCACGGATTCGCTTTGGAAATATTTCAGTGGCGTGCACTCACCGTATAACCGAATAGTGTTGTCGACGTCACCTAGGGAATTTTTGGCCACGCACTTGTAGATGCCCAGATCAGGCATCTGCACGTTGCGTATGGTCAGCACCATCTTAACCTCGAACCGTGATTTGACGATCGCCTGCACGTCGTGTTGCTGGCTGGATATTATCATTACTATGGAAACAGAATATTTTCATTTATTTATATCGACGCGTTAATTATCATGAGAATATGTGTTACTTCTTCCTTCGTAGCAGAGACAAGTAAATACAATTATTAATTTCTTATTATATTAACTATTATTATCTTTACTTACGTTATTACGTATTTTTATTCAACATTAATTATTTTGGATAATGCAATTGTTTTTAAGCAATTTGGACGCGTTAATTATATCGGTAATCATAGGAGTCGTGTTAAATTTTATGTATAACTAATTAATAGTTCTCTCGGCAGTGAATTTATATCTATTAAAATTCACACCTTTTGTAGCAATTTAGAGTTTAATAAATGAATGAACAAATTTAAATGAAACAATTAATTTAATAAAAATCTGAACGTGTCCATTAAAATAATATTCGATTAAATATAATGAACATATTTAAAGATGCAGATCTTGATGAATTGTAACACACATACGAATACAAAGAGAGGAAGTCAACGTATGGTCAGACACGTTTCACGATCAAGGAGTGGAACAATATCTCTTCATTGCATTCCACTGTAGAAAAATGATTTAAATATATGAAACCATTAAAAACATGCACTAATTTACTAGTGCTAATATAAAATTATATTTATTGCTATTATTTAATACAGAAGTTATGTATGTCGATTGAGTTATTCATAAATATAAGTAAGATTCCAATATAAAAGAAATGATGCTGCAAAATTGGTGTACTAAATGAATATAATGTTCTTATTCGTGCATTATAATTAATATAAATTGGCGAAAAACTGTAATGTCGATTTGAAGTGTATAACAATGCCGAGGTCTCTATTCGTAGCAAGTAGAAATAACCTGTAATAGTCAGACCGCTACACCAGCCGAACTCAGTGTACGCATGCCCGGAAAATGTTTCGATTCAATTTTCTCGAAAACGAAACATCAAACGACAACGTTTTATTCAACGCATTGCCAATTTATTTTCACACCTAAACTAACTCGTTTTCAATTGAATCGCGAATAATGAAAATGGCTTTACCTAAAAGCAAATTTTATAATTTAACGAACTCTGACCAATATATTATACATTAGAAATCTAATGTTTTATCTCATCGTTAAAAATATACTCCATTTTAGTATATAAGAAAATTCTTTTAAATTCTATTATATAAGAAAAGTCGAATGACAGAATGTCCTACTTCAAGGAAGCAAATTTCGCAATGTCAACTGTTAAAAACACAAATTACAAATTATAAATTATTGTTTAGCATATGAAATCTATACCAACTGAAATAAATTAAAAATAATAATTTATCACCTACCACCGAAAGAATGGTTCAAATATTCAAGAATATCTATTAAAAAAATATTACTTAAAAAATATAATATTCTCAAATTCATATTACCCTAGATAAACTGAAGAAACAGATGAAATTACAAAGGCAAGAAGAAGGCACATTTAAGATCACTCTACGAATCATTATCGTTGATCGCATTTCTACGTCCTTTCGCAAATTCCAAAATAATTTCCAACCCGCTAAAAATGGCAGCACATCGTTTCTAATGCATAAAGAGTTCGGAATAAAATTTAATATGCGCGCATATACGAGATCGTTGAGAATATTGAAAACGAGCCGGAGAATATGGAAAGATATATAAAAGTATGCGAAAATTCACTTCTTAAACGCGCGCCAGGTCTCCTTATTACACTCTGAAATATTCGCCGGTGTGCGCGTAACCCTATACATATATACATACATACATATATACATATATATATATATATATATATATATATGTATATATATATATATATATATATATATATATATATATGTATGTATGTATGTAGATATGTACGGTAGAGAAAAAGAGGCGCAGGATTTTCTGTGCAAGGTGAAAATTACATACGAATGCATTGGGACGAAGTACTCCGGAGAAGTTGCGCTAAAGCGAAAGCGTGTCTACTCGTACAGGCTACAAACTGCTACGAGAATATATTTGCGAACGACCGAGAGTAATTCACTCTCGCGTTTGTCTGCAACTTTTTTACGAATTTCCGCGCGGAAATATTAAACCTGTTAAAGAAAAGCTGCGTTTGTTACGCGCGCAACCTTGAGAACATTTGCGAAACACGGGCCGCGCAGTTTGCTTTAATCATGTTAGAGGAGTGCCTCCATTAACGTAATTTTACATTGGAAAACTCTATTTCAGGATTGAATATTCCGTTACGCGGATGTATGATTCTTCTTGCTCGCCAGATTACCGTGTACGGTGCGCATTCGCCGCCAGTCTCGTTGGTTCTTGTTTATTATACGCATCTCAGCGCTGAAGCATTTCTTTTTGCATTACCGGATAACGTGCAAACACGGGGACAGTTTACTGCAGTGTATTATTCGACGTTGAAATATCAGATTATCGCAATGGACGATAGTATTAGACGTTGAAGCGATTAATCAGGTTTTGTGGGACTGATTTCGTGTGTTTGTGTTCTTTTGATATTTAGAGTTAATTAATGAAATTGTTTCGGACTAAATAAAATTGAGAAGAAAGCGTTTAATGTTTGGTTTGTGACAGTGATTCAATGAAAGTTGATTGTTGCAATGTTCTTGATTATTACATTGATTTGATCATTTGGAACGTTATTTTAAACTAAATGAGATTGAAAAGAAATGTTTACTGATGTTTAGTTTATAGCAGTAGTTTAATGAAAGTGATAAGGTGGTTTTTAAATGTGAAGGATTGCTTTTGTTGATTAATTTATTGTTTGAACGATATTAGATTGCTATATGGAAATTCACGTGTGTTCAAAGGACTTTCCTGAAAATGGTACTGGATAAAATAGGTAAAAATGAAAACAGGTGTATTTACTACGGTCCGGACAATTAAGCTTTCACAAATATTTCACTCTAGTTTTCATCAAGGTTAATTCAAATAATAGTTTAATATAATGCTTCACTAGTTTATTTAATAATATTACGAATAATTAAAATTAAGTACCGAATCTTCCTGAATATAGAATCATAAAAGATAAAACAAAAACCTTCTAATAGTTAACAATACACAAACAAATACAATATTGAGAATATTTACAATACTACTAGTCAGCAGATGTTTATGCATTTACAGGAAATTTGAAAATGAAAAATTGCACAGGATACACAAAATTTAATCATGTAAAATATCCAAATCATATTGCTGTTTATAATATTTATTAAGAAAAGCCATTTTCTACCGTAATTCTATTTTCCTAACAATATCAAAATTTGAATCTTCACAAGAGTCCACAGCCTAACTATTACAAAACGTTAATCAACGAAACATGCAAAAAGAAGTCGCGATTAACTTCTCAATTCCATGCAAAGTACAACCATACTACAAACACACACCAGTATAAGTACAATAAATATAGACACTACATTCCATCTTTTGATATCACTTTTCACATCAAAGATTCTTCAAACTAAATCCCACAGTTAATAGGTTAAAAACCGTGAAAAACCGTATAAACAAAGTATCGTATAAATCAGGTAAGATCACCTCTCTCCACGTGCATTTTCGTGTGACACAAAAAGGCGTCATAGGCATCGAACGCGTTAAAGTCAGAAAGCTGCGACAAGATTCGCTCACGAGAGGAGCGCATGCTGGAGGGGACACGTACAAGCTAGACACCGAATGTCCGACATAGATCTCACCGTTATCCTTTTCCCAATAATTAATCGACTTCGGCCAAGCCTCGACAATATATTCCAGGTTCACGTCGGTGCCCAGAGGTGCGCCGACCAGTTGAGTAGGTACACGAATCACCGGCGGAACTGTGACAGAGAATCGCAGACACGGGTTGCAGTCGGGCGTTCGCTTTCGATTCACGGCCGAAGTGGATCGGTAATTGATGGCCGAGAACTAGGAGCCGTAGGCGCAATCACTATTACTCACAATGAACGTTGATAAAAATACGTTTGCTGACTGCCGGTGGCACGCCGTTGCTCGCGATGCAGAGGTACACGCCCATATCCTTCCGCGAGATCTTCGTCAGCTTCAGCTCCTCGCTCTGGTACTCCGTCACTGAGTTCACCAGACAGAACGGGCATTGTTGAACGTTTGTAACCGTGTGAAAATGTTTGTTCGTCGGAGGTTTATGGGAATCGTGAGATCGTGTGGTTGGGGAACGATGGAAATGGAAATTGGAGCTTTTAATGATGTTTGTTGCATTTGGATGTTTTGGAAGAGTGGAAATGTTTTTGTATGAATTTTTTAAATTAAATTTGAGATAATGGAAATTTGAAAATTGATATGTGAAACTGAAATAAAACTTTGAAATTAGAAATTGAATGACAGTACTTGATTGAACGTATGAGGTAGTAAAATGAATGTTTTATAGATTTTTTAAAATTAATCAAAGTAGCGTTTTTGTTGTTTCTTAATTTGAGTAGATACTATTGGAAGAAATGCTTTATTGTGTAAATTCTAGGAAAAGAATAAACATTTACATTCGATTGAATAAACACCATTCAGAAAATAATATCCGATTATAATTGATGCTATGAGATAAAGGACGGCTGTGAATTTCTTATCGACGAATTATCATTCTCCGTTGGTGCAATTCTTCATCGAGTAATTAAAGAATTACAGAATATCGATTCGGAGAAGTATTTAAATCTTCATTGACCTATCTAGACCTAATAATCGTAAGATTATTCCGAAGTGCTTAAGTCCATTGAAACATGGAAAGTCTTATCTGTGTCAATAAAGCTTAATGAAACCATTACCTTTGTTACAATATCATATTATCCGCTAAACGAGAAGATTAAATAATTTCGTCTCTAAATCTCTGAATACACATTTATTTACGACAAACACAGTCGTTCATTTAATTCACTCACAAACACGCAATTATAATTCATAATAACACAGAAAATACCTTTCATGAAAAGAACCTGAATACATTCTCTGATAATTAAAGCATAAAAACTAAACATTCATTATAAACTACTTATTTTCTCTGAAAGACAAACAAGTTTTAGCCAAAACATATTTTACTGAGTTTTGAAATTCCAAGTTATAAATAATTGTTTCAAATAATTTTATTGTCATGTAGAGTGTCTTTTCCTGAGATCACAGTCTTTTTGTTTAATGAACTTAATTTGAAAATATCTGACAGACGCGGGGCGACGAGAAACAATTTCTGGACGTAAAGTGAACTATAACATTTAATGGAATTTTTGTTGCACGAACTATTATCACGTCTTTAATCCCGTTCTTAGTGCGCCTTGCCCTGAACTTGGGGAAAAAATATTGATTCCCTTAAGGTTGTAGACTGCAACAGCTGCTTGTAGAACTCATAATTTGTGATTTAATTACGCAGGGAAGCCGAATAACGCGATAGCCTTACTTTTCGCAGGCTGATATAAGAGCATCCAATTTCGTTAACAATCGTGAAATGATTGTCCCAAGAGTTTCTGCCCGCGACGTTATTAAACTATGAGATTGCAGTGAAAACATTGTTGCTTATATAATTATTAAAATTGGGAAAGCTATTTTGTACTGTTTTTCGTGATATCTAGCTCAGGCGGGGCCAGAACAATTAGCACAGAATTAAACTTCGCTAATGAAAATTATTATTAATTTGTACAAAGGAGAATGTACTTTATACGGGTAATCGTCTCCTTATAATGGAAAATTAGCAGGAATTTTATTATACCGGACGACAGCTGAAAATTTTCTTCTGCGAAATGAATGAAGTTAATAATTCGTAAACTATGAATGTTATGTTTATAGAATAATGTAACAAAAAAATGTATCATGAATTAAGTAAATTCAACGCGTATAATACATTCTATTTTATTGAAAAGTGTAATATTAATTTAATAATAATAGTAATGATACTCGTTTCATATTATTTTTCAAAGTACTCGTTTCTTTAATGAATTAACCGAAGATTGACTTGAAAATCAACACAGAAATTGAAGATTAATGTTTCTCGAAGGATCTTCAGTAAAATTTGTATACAGAGTTTCATTTCATTGAAAAATGCAGGAAACAGCGTAAATATGTAAAATTCATAGTCTAATTACGAACGGAATATCAGTATACAGACGGAACTTCAACACAAGTTCGATATTACTTGGCGTGAAGAAGGTAAAGAAGAAACTAAGGAAAAAGAAAATCGCGTCAATATCGAATGCTTCTCCTCGTTTAACGAAATCAGCAATCTCTTCCGCGGAGCTCGCATACAAATTCCGTAGAAAATTGCTGGTTGAAAATGAACTTTCGCTCCGCTATTCGCTAACTGTTCCAACGGAAATCGTTAATTAATGAGTCTGTAAATCATAAATCATCGAGTTACGCTTGAATTCACGGCGGGCTGGCGTTACGTCGCAGATTCGAAAGCAACACCGGTAATTACAGGAGTATAGGTAAAATACATTTTGCGTTTGAAGACCGAATGATAGATTATAAGGCGGATCACCCGAGAAATGAAATTATATAACAATACCATTTGAATTTATTGAAGCTTCGAAATTATTTCTTCCCCGTCGAATGTGTTTCACGTCTCGTGTCGTAGAAATGTCGTTGACGCGATCTAAAAGGACGGTTTTATAGTGGTAGTTATCAACGTTTCAATATTCCGTCCTCCTTAATATTCTTTTAAATCGGTCACGTTATGCACTAAAGTCGAAACTCGTATTTCATGGTTAAACGAATATTCCTTGGCTATTTATGTCTTGCACAAAAGGATTGTCACATATTTTCTTATTTTTTTTTTAATTACTTTATTTCA